AGGGCTCCCTGTGTGGGGGCCTGAGCAGACAGGCTCTGGGCCGCTGGCCTCGTGGTGGGAGGAGCGTCTTCCAGTCCCAGTGGGATCATTGAAATAGGAGGGACAGTGGGGGATCCTCCTAATCCCAGTGAGGACGGACACGGGGAATGGATGAAGGGAGACTCGGGGGCATTGGCCACGGTGTGCACACAAGAACCCCAGTGGTGGGGCAGACGCCGAGTCCCTGGGTGGGATTTCTGGGCCAGACCGACTTCTCCAACCATGCAAGGGGCCCACCTTGCTGTGGACGCAGAGCGAGGGGCGCTGACCACGTTCCCTGGGTCTGCAAGGACACCCCACACTTACTGCCTCCCTTCCCTCCCTCGAGGGACCCCTGTGTGAACAGATGTGGACACAGCCTCGCATTCTCACGTGAAACGGTTCCTACAAACAGACCCCAACCACCATGCAGGAGCGCAGCCCACCACGGGAGCCGTGGGCCCAGGCGTCTGCAGCCCCAGGGCTGGGTGGGAGCTGGGCTCCAGGCTGAGGGGGGCCCTCCAGGGGCGCTGGCACAGACCCCACGTCAGATAGGCCATCTGCCTGGCTCATGACAGTGAGATGAGCCGACACTGAGGGACAGGAGCTCCACGGGGAAGAGACCCTGCTGCTCCCACAACTGCCCGCCCCCCCCAGTCTGCTCACCTCCCCTCATGGGTGAGCTGGTGCCCTCCAGCCCCTAGCCCCACCCCGCCCATATGCTCTGATACCAGGAGCAAGCACCCGGACCCTCACCCTCCTCCCTCCCAGCCAACGTCTCCTCCCCAGGTTCTAGGTTCTGATGCCTTTCCCAGGTTTGGCCGAGGCCCCTACAGCGCTCACTACTCACAGATGTGCCGTCCCTGCAGCAGCACGGGGCTAAGGCCATCCGGGTCCAAGGGACACCTGGCCCTCTGCTTGCCCCCCTCCCACGCCCCACCCCCCCACAGCAAAGAGCTCAGGGAAGAAAGGAACTCATGCCGGGGTCCTCTTCCCGCTCCACAGAATCCACAGGCCATCCCACAGGTGCTCTTCCGCCGCCTTCCCTCCCTCCCTCCCAGGCAGGTGGCTCTGGAGTGCTCCCCACCCTCCTGCCCCTTCCTGAAGCAGAGGTTTCACCTTGGCCGCACTCCCCAGCGGCTGCCCCTCCCTGTCCAGCCGGGCCTCCCCAAGAGGGAGACGCAGACAGAGGTTGCCACCCCGTGCGCGTCACCCCACTGTGTCCCTGTCCATGGTGTGCGCTCAGCGGGCGCTGGATGCTAACGGCGTGGGCGAAGATTCGCCTGTGTTCCTCGGAAAATCCAAGGTCGGTCCAATGGCAAGGAAAGGAAGTGGAGAAACGTTTCAGATTTTCACGGCAGCCAACCTTCCTCATCACAGAACAAGTTAGGAGAGGTGAAAGTTCGCAGGGACCGTGTGTCAGGGCAGAGTCGGGAGGGAGCTCCCGGTAAGTGGGAGGATTCTGCGGTGATGAGGAGGTCACCGCGCGGCCCCCGGGGAAATCGCGACGCGCACACAGAGCAGGGCCGGCTGTGCTCTGTGCCGTCCAGCGGGACAGCTCCCGGTCAGCTCGCTGGGTCTCCATAGACAACCTGCGGGAAGCCAGGCCTCACGCTTTCCCGAGAGGACCGTGGGCTCTGGGAGGCCTGGGGACTGAGGGCAGTCACGGGTGGCCCTGTCAGTCGGCCCCGCGGGTTTGGCTGCAGATCCTCCTCCTGCGCCCCTAGGACGAGATCCAACAATGGGGTCATGGAGTCCTGGGGAATCCCTCGGATAGAGGAGCATTCCTGTCACCTTCTGAGGGCACTCGGGAAGGTCAGGGCCCCGTGACCACCCTTCCGTGGCTGCAGGTCTGTTCATTCAGAGATGCGTGTGCCCCACAGGCCACTGTGCACTGGGTGGGAAGAGGAGAGCAGCCGGCTTGGGGAGTCTTGGCCAGGGCGCCCCCGTCCCCCGACACGCTGTGCTCGCCCAGCGGCTGATAACGGGGGAGCCCTGCCTGCGTCCACGCCTCCATCGATCATCCACCGTCCCTGGACACAGGTGTCACAGGAGGCTCCGGCAGAGAGAGATGGTGTCTGGGGCTGAGTATTCGGACAGAACGTGGGGCGAGCTGGAGTCAGTCCTGCTCGAGTATCTGCTCTGGAGAGTCTGGGCTTGGAAAGTCCCCACTTGTGGGCCCCACGACCTACTCGTTGACGGGACCCTCCTCCAGACAGGCTGGCAGGAGACGCCACCACCTGGCACGTCTCCTGGGAGGGCCCTGGACATGACTCCTTGAGTTCTGAGGGCCCGCTCCGTCTGGGATGCCTGTGCGCAAACCTGGGCCCTTGGTGCTCATTTTAGTAAAGTATCTTGGGGTTAGGCTGTGCTGCCTGAGGGTTCCTTCTCCTTCCTCCCCACAGTCTCTGAAGGTCAGAGTCCACCCTCATTCCATCATTTGTCCTTAGGAATGTCCTTTGTCTCGGTTCATTCTGAAGATCCTGTTTCAGGGACGTGTATTGTGTGAAAGTGTACAAGGTGTATGGACATTGAGAGATGTTTTCCGCCCACGAGCACAATCTACAGAGGGATCCCTAAGGTTTTTGTAGCTTATAAGGCTCCTAAAAATATATAAATAGAACAATTGTTCATGGTAAATTGCTCCTATATCTTGCAATCCAATGTAGATTTTTCTCCTAGGTATTGTGCTGAGGGAGAGCCTCCAAAGCATATACAAACAGACCAGCCAGTGGCAGTGGGAGCATGGTGGTGTCATCAGAACCAACAGCGGGATTCAGATCATACCCCATTCTTCCCTCCCCATTGTTACCTGGACACTGGCTTGCTGGATCCCTTTGCTGTCCCAGAAAGCAACTGACATTGTACTGTCCTGTCTGGGTACTTCTGATAAATACGTGTTCAGTAGCCTGGGGTTCATGTTTTCCAGGCATTCCCCGTTGGTTACTCTGCAGGCAAATATTGAGAATATCTAGATAAAATTGACATTAAAAGAGTTTGCTCCAATGATATTTGAAGAACCCATACAAAGGAACTGAACAAACATAATTGCATTGTACTCTCATGTGTTCAAACTTTAAACTTTAAATTATATATAGATAAAAACGAGGATAAAGCTTTTCCCCTGAGTTCAAAAACAAGGCAAGACTATCTTCTCTCATCCCCATTTCAACTTACTATTATAGGTTCTAGTTAGTGTAGTATAGCAAGAAGTGGAAATACAGGCATATGGTTTGGAAAAAAATAAATATTCCTGTTATTATTTGCAGATGACAAAACTGTCTACATAGAAAATTCCAAGGATTCTATGAGAAAACTCACGATAAGTTATAATACATTACTTTAGCAAAGTCTCAGAATAAAAGATCAGTATAATATGCAGCTGATCATATTACCATAGACTAGCAACAAACAATTGGAAACCAAAATTTAAAACCTATTCCATAGTTCCCTCCAAAATGAGATGTTTGATATAAATATTTTAAGAAATATAGAGGACCCGGACAATGAAACTTATAGAACTAATGAAAACAAGCAAGACTCAGTAAGTGCAGAGAGGTATTGTTTTCATGGATAGGAAGAGTCGATGTAGGAAAATGTTAATTCCTCCCAAATTGATTTACAGGCTTAAAATGCAATTCCTATCAGCTCCCAGTAGGACTTTTCTTTGGTCAAAATCAACAAACTTATTCTAAAACTTGTATCAAAGGGCAAGGAAGGTTGAGCAATGAAATTGTGGATTAAGACAGTCCAAGATCTTGTTTCCCCACAGAAATGTCACAAGAAACAAAACAAAAAAAAACCCAGAAACTTTTGAACCAACTTTATAGGAGCTCTGGAAAATAGTCAAAGGTTTCCAGTGACCAGCACATGGCCGATCAAAGAAAGATGCAAGTTTTGTGGCACTGTTACCTGCCCCCAGCCCACCCACCCCCCTCAGCCCCTGCATGGCCATGGTCTCAGGCTCCAGCCAGCGGCAGCTTGGTTCCTGGTTCCCCTCCACCAATGTGAGGGAGCAGAGCAGACCTCATTTACAAATAATTGTGTGCCATCATTCTCATCTGTCTGGGGGTTCCCGAAGGCCTGATGCCAGATGATCGTGTCTGTTTGCACCTCTCAGACACAGGTGGGAAAACGAGTGGGCGCTGCCCGTAAACTACAAGGCCACTCTGAACCAACAGACACCTGACTCAGGAGACTCTGTACAGACATGCAACAGACCATTTCAAGCCCAGGAGATAGGCTGACGGTGAGACTTTGGGAAATTAGGACTTTCAAAAGCAGTGTGTATACAGGGGAATTTAGGAATCCATGTGCAGGACAGGCAAGACTCGCTCAGGAAACTCTTGACAAGACCCCAAGCTTCCACCCCAGGCTGACCCCAGGCCCAGAGCAAGCCTAGCTAAGTGAGGCACAAGGATCCCAGCAGTACCTGGGAGGAGACTGTTCCCTCTTACTGATTAAGTGTGCAGGGGACCTGTGGGGGGGGGCCCGGAGTTGGGAGGTCCAGGGCACTTGGGTGGGGTCCCCTGCAGTCTGGGGAGGTGCAGGGGACTTGGGTGGAGTCTAGGGAGTCTGGGGGTGCAGTCGACCTGAAGGTGGTTGCAGGAGTGTCTCTGGTTGCAGAAGACATGGACCACTGCAGTTATAACCTGGGTCACAGGAGCCTGAAAGGGGATCACAGGGGTATCTAGGAGCACAGAGAGAACTTGGAAGTGATCACAGGGTATGGGGGGCACCAGTGACTTGTAAAGAGTCACAGTAATTTCTGGGGGCACAGAGGGCATGGGAGGATCTCCAGGGATTTGGTGTTCATGGCAACCTGGAAGCAAAAAGTTGTGTCAAGAAACAGGGTCTTTGGAGGAGTTGCAGGACCCATGGAGCCCACAGAAGCATTGGGGTGGATGGGGTGATGTTGGGAGGAGCCCCAGCAGTGTTGGGGTGGATGGGGATGCTCGGAGGAGCCCCAGCAATGTCGGCGTGGATGGGGGGCTGGGAGGAGCCCCGGCAGTGTCGGGGTGGATGTGGGCTCAGAAGAACCCCAGCAGTGTCGGGGTGGATGGGGGACTTGGAGGAGCCCCGGGCAGTGTCTGGAGGTGTTGTGACATGTATGGACACACAGGGGATGTGGGAGGAATCGAGGCATGTGTGGGGCAGCAGAGAACTGGGAGAAATCACAGGAGATTCACCACCCAAAGTCCGCTGAGGCTGAAGAGGAGCTGTCCACAGGACTGCATTCTCATTGGGAGGCTCTGGGTAGAAAATCCATGCCCGAGCTTGTCCTTGGTCGCAGCACAATTCAGTTCCATGCAGCTGACTCTCTGAAGTCCTGGTTTCCTCCTGGCATCCTCGAGGGCCAATCTCAGCTGCATGAGACCACCACATCCCTTGCCACGTAGCCCCACCGTCTTCATGCCAGCAACACGAAACCCTCTCCTGCTCTGAACTCAGACTGGGATCACATCACTCGCTTTCCTAGGTCCAGTGTGCAGGTGGCAGATCATAGGACTTCTCATCCTCCATAATTATGTGAGGCAATCCCTCATAACTGATCAATCTGTCTCTCTCTGTCTTTGTCTGTCTGTCTTTCTCTCTCTCCTGATTCCTATTAGCTCTGTTTTTCTGGAGAACCCCAACAAGTACAGCAGTCACTATGAAAGTCACTAAAAATATAGTTAGAGGATTAACAGAGGAATTAGATGGCACAATAAAAAATGTGAAGAAAGAAGTAGACAAGTAAAAGTGGGGAAAAGATAAGAGACACACAGAAAACAAGTAGCAAACTGGAAAATGTAGTTCCAGCCACATCAGTAATCACCTAAGTGTGAAAAGTCAAACACTCCAATTTAAACATAGAGACTGACGGACCATGTTAAAAAAGCAAGGTCCTTATAAATATGGTCTCTAAAAAATAAGAAATTGGAATAAGTAACCCAACTTTGAATGGAAATTGTAGAACTTTTATTTGCAGAGGAGATGATCCTCTATGTAGAAAATTCCAACGAACCCACCAAAACAAAACAAAAGAGACTAGAATTAATAAAGGTTGAGGATCCTAAGAAGAAATATTTCTTACAAAAGTCAATGGTATTTCTGTACACTAGGTATGGAAATATGAAAAGAAATTAACAAAATAATTTCATTCACAGTAGTATGGAAAATAGTTATAAATTTAATAAAGACGTATAAGTGAAAACTATAGAATATTGCTGAGAGAAGTTAAAGATCTAAGTAAATAGAGAAACATTTCTTTTTTTTTTAAAGATTTATTTATTTATTTATTTATTTGACAGAGAGAGAGATAGCAAGAGCAGGAACACAAGCAGGGGGAGTGGGAGAGGGAGAAGCAGGCTTCCTGCCGAGCAAGGAGCCCAATGTGGGACTCGATCCCAGGACCCTGGGATCATGACCTGAGCCGAAGGCAGACGCTTAACGACTGAGCCACCCAGGCGCCCGAGAAACATTTCTTGTTCATGGATCAGGAGATTTCATATTATCAAGAAGGCAATTCTCAAATTCACCTATAAATTTAATCCAGTCCCTGTGGAAATCCTAGCAGATTTTTTAGGGGTATAAATTGACCAGCTGATCCCATAATATATATGGGAATGTTAAAGGCCTAAAATAGCCTAAATAGTTTGGAAAAATAACAAATCTGGAAACCTTGTACTACCTGGTTCAAAATTTGCTACAACGCATTTTAGTCTAGACAGTGGAAATCTGCACATCTAGGACAATGGCACAGGAGTGAGAGTGCAGAAATAAAATCTTATCTTTTATTATAAACTGATTTTCAACAAAGGCCCCAAAACTATTCAGTGGGGGAAAGACTAACTTTTTTTTTTTAACTGAGAAATGGTGCCTGGACAAATGGATGAGTCACAAGAAAATCCAAAAAAACCAACCAACAGAAAAAACTTACATCACTCTAGACAACAGTGATTAAAAATCAACCCAAATGTAATTTCTCAATGAAAACAGTAGAAAGCCTTCATGATCTCTTAGTTATGACACCAAAAGCACGATCTATAGAAAAACCAAACTTATTAGACGTCATCAAAATTAAAAATTTTTGCTCTCCAAAAGCCACTGTGGAAAATATGAAAAGACAAGCCAGAGACTTGGAGAAAATATTCACACATCACATACCTGGTAAAGATCATAGATAACAACTCGATAAAAAGACAAACAAAACATTTTCTGAAATAGGCAAAAGATCTGATGGACATTTTCACTAAAGAAAACACGCGAGCAGCAATGAAGCCCATGCAAACACGTTCG